CAGGCACCCGCCACAATGCCTGGCTATTTTTTTGTTGCAGTTTGGCTGGGGCTGGGTTTGAACCCCCCATCCTCAGTATATGGGGCTGGGCTGGTGCCCTACTCACTGAGCCATTTAAATGTATTAAGACAAACACAGTTTTTATTTTATTGATTTTTAATTACATAGACAATAAGGAAATATTCTTACTGATTAGTTTTTCTGACTTCTCTTGCATAACCTTGTCATTTCTTTGTCTAAATTTTGGGCTTTTCATCTAGAAATGGAAGAGAATGATTACTTGTTCCGGGTATTTCATAGGGAAAAAAAATGAAGTGCTTAAAAATGGGCAACTGAGGGTATTTAACTTGAACCAATAAGGACCTAAGCAATAATGAGATTTCCCATAGGTTATCTGACTCCAGAACCAGAATTTATAGCACTGACATGCTGCGTTTAAATCCTGTAAACCTTCCTGAATCTCTTCTCCATGACTTTTAGCCATATGAGAATATGAGATGGGCCAGGTCTCTGGAGTCTAGCCAGGTCTGTACAGGTACTATGGGCCATGAAGAGAGGGATATAGATGGGCCCCGTAATTGTATCTAAGGGAAGAAGAGGAAGATCAACCCCATACTCTCAATATAAGAGAAGACTGCCACATTCTAGGGTCAATTTTAGGGAGGAACATTTTCCCCAAACTCATGGCCTTGAGAGACCTAATCTATAATCCTTGGACTTTGGCAGTGTCTGACCCTTGCTTCCAAATCCTGACGAAGGTCACTGCCTTTATAAGATAGATCCAAGCAAATTTCCCTTGAAAACCCAGAGTGCTATCTGCATTGATAATAAACTCTTAACTCAAGAACTGCTCTTCCTTGAGTCGTCAGATGATTCTTGACTATTCATTAGTCTTCTGCTTCAATGATCAAACATCTTCTCTCCCAACCTAGCATCCTGTCCACTTCAGCTATAGATTCTAGCCCATGAAGTCTTCATCTAGGGTCCTCAGAACACTACAGAAAATGGTGAAATTTTACGGGAAAAATAATCCCTCTTTATTTTCGCTAACTTTAAATGAAATTTAGCATTTCCTTCCCTTTTGAATATAAATTCACAAACTAGTTTAATATCAGCAGTTCCTCTGGCCTGTTTATAGAGAGAAATAAAGTATTTTCATATTACATTATAGTCTTATAGATGTTTTGTTTTTCTTTCTTTCTTTCCTTCTTTCTTTCTTTTTTTTTTTTTTTTTAAATTGTGTCACCCTCAGTAGAGTGCCAGGGCATCACAGCTCGCAGCTCACAGCAGCTCACAGCAACCTCAAAATCATGGGCTTCAGCAATTCTCTTGCCTCAGCCTCCCAAGTAGCTGGGACTACAGGTGCCCATGATAACACCTGGCTATTTCTTGGTTGCAATTGCAATTGTTGTTTATCAGGCCTGGGCCAGGCTTGAACCCACCAGCCTTGGTGCATGTGGTCAGTGCCCTATCACTGAGCTATGGGCCCCAAGCCACAGATATTTTTAAATAACATTTCCTTATATCACTACTTAATGAATTCATAAAGAAACATATAAAAGATTATGCTATAAATTTGATGTTTTGATATTTGATAACTGTTTTTTAATATAACTGGTCTCCTTAGCAATAATATTTATATTATTTTATATAAATAAAATCCACATTATTTTTAGTAGTAACAGTCTGCTAAACTAGTCCATGCTACATTAAAAGTTTAGGAATTCCTGATTATGTCTATATTGGCTATTGTTTGGAATGTATGCCTAGAAAGATATTCCTTTTTTTTTTTTTGAAACAGAGTCTCACTTTGTTGCCCTCGGTAGAGTGCTATAATCTCAGAGCTTACAGCAAACTCAGACACTTGGGCTCAAGTGATTCTCTTGCCTCAGCTTCCCCAGGAATTGAGACTACAGGTGCCCACCACAATGCCCAGCAATTTTTTTTTTTTTTTGAGACAGGGTCTCTCTCTTGCTCAGGCTGGTCTCAAACCTGTGAACTCAGACAATTCACCCGTCTTGGCCCCCCAAGTCCTGGGATTACAGGTGTGAACCATTGCTCTCGGCCTCTAGAAAGATATTCTTAATTAGAACCTAAAAGAAAGTGGTAAAGAAATTCATTGGCCTGGAATACTACTAATTTGGAGAGAGTCACTAAGTCAGGTAAAGACTTCCAGAATCATAAGAGAAAGACAAAATATTTTCATGTGCTACAGGTGTTTTTTATCACACTCTTAAGAAAAGATAATAAATGCCAAGGTAGGGTTAAAGATAAGAGAAGAGTTCTCAGTAAATATGGAATATATGGAGATCTCAAGGGCACTAGACTGGGAAGGCATAATCCAAATGGTTGAGTAAAAGGGCCAAAAACCTCTGGGGCATCAAAATGCAAGAAATTGTAGGAAAAGAAACTCCCAGGTCTGGAAGGGGCCAATAGAGCACCAGAGAAAGAAAAGATAGAAATAGATGTGGAATTAGCTAGAACAAGAACTGGGCAGAGCTCACTAGATTATAGTGACGTAGCAAGACTTTTTTTAGAATTAACAAAGGTGGAATCTGTGCATTCCTGGTTGCATTTTCCCCTAATCATCAATTTTGCCATCTCGACGGTTACACAACTTCTGTATCTTGTTTTCATAGTCAAAAAAATAAGGGTAATGACCATTATATTACTAGGCACAGATGAAAAGATACAGCACAGAGAACATTCTTCCTGCATATGGATGGAACTGAATATATATCAATGCCAGCTCCAGTTTTAGCTTCAACATATAAAGAGCTAACAAGTCATTACAACATAGACATGGGCACCTATGGCTAGAGCTAACACTAAATTTAACCTGACTCTTCATCTGATTAACATATCAAAATACTTATTTCTCAGTTTGATCACAAATCTTGCTTTTAAATAATTTTACATTTCTCAGCTCTCTCACTGATGAGAAGTATAGGCAGCACAGACAAGCACAAAGATAGCTCAGGGAAATAGCCACAAAGTGGCCAATTCCCTCTATAGTCACAGATAAATGGAAAGAGAAAATGTTCCCTGGAAGCACCAGGTGTAATCTTGTTCTTTCTGTCCTCTCCCAGAACCAGGTCTTAGTATTACACTTTGGAATTAAGGCTTCAATATCGGGGTGAATTTTTTACTACTCTGTTCAATTTCTAGAAGGGACCATGTATGGTTTTTATCTCCCTAGAAAAACTAAGATCCAGAGGTTTGGGTACAAGTCAGTCACCAAGAGCACTAGAACTGGATAAAACTCCATGTCAACAGCTTACCCTTTTTGTTTCTTGGCCAGGGCTGTCTTTGTCATTGTCACTATCCATAATCCAAATTTTAAACTCATTTTGGCTGAAGCTGTTTTCCTACCTGAGGCTTAGTTCATTATGAGACTCTTGGAAAAGGGGGAATGAGAGAAATGTTTGTTATTTTGTAAGGTGATGTGGGGAAAGAAGAGAGTGAGTAGAGGGAATGTGCATGGAGGAGGACACAAGGAAAGAAAGGTCTCAGCATCCCCCACACATTATCTCAATGTGTGCCTACTTCACTGCTGACCCTCTGCTGACCAGGCTCCACCCCTGAGGGACAGAGCTTAGCTTTGACCAATGACTTCTAACTACCACGGAGAACAAGGGGCTAGAACTTCAGCAGTGGAGGATAAAAGGCCACATAGAAAATCAGCAGCATACACCTATTTCTGGTACAGCTGTGATCACCAGCAAGCTCCCAGACTTGACACCATGGTGCATTTTACTGCTGAGGAAAAGGCTATTATCATGAGCCTGTGGGGAAAGGTGAATATAGAAGAGGCTGGAGGAGAAGCCTTGGGCAGGTAAACACTGGTTCTCAGTGCATGGGAATAAAGGGGGAATATAACTCTGGCAAACTGACCAGGAAAGTCCTAAAGATTTTGAGCATCACTAATTTTCCACCTGTTATGGTGACGTATCATAGGCTCCTTGTTGTCTACCCCTGGACCCAGAGATTCTTTGACACCTTTGGAAACCTGTCCTCTGCCTCTGCCATCATGGGCAACCCCAAGGTCAAGGCCCATGGCAAGAAGGTGCTGACCTCCTTTGGAGAAGCTGTCAAAAACATGGACAACCTCAAGGGTGCCTTTGCTAAGCTGAGTGAGCTGCACTGTGACAAGCTGCACGTGGATCCTGAGAACTTCAAGGTAAGTTCAGGAAATGCTACTAGGCTCTTGGCTTTCACTTTGAGACAATAATGGAAGGTTAGACTATGATTAGAAGGATCAACAAAGACGTCAGAAAACATAGGTCCAGTTTGGTCTTAAAAAGACAGATTTCCAGTAGGCATAAGCAAGACCAACTTGATTCAGAATGAGGGACAATAAAGAGATAGTAATAGGCTAAATTTTCTTACCACTTTTCAGGAACATTTGTCAAGAACTGGATGGTTTTTTTCCTGGAGAATAATATTATATAATAGCAGACCTCTGCAAAGAGAAATGCAATTTGGCTTTTGGTAGATGAAGGCCTGTCTCAAGAAAGGACAAATGTCTTATTTATATGGGTCTTGATAATCCAAGCTTAGGAAAAGATTTTGTTAAAAATTTTAAAGGTAGATTTTCTCAAAGAAAAATACAGCAAATTCTCTAAAATATATTCTCTGTCAGTACTGTGATGAAATTGAGGCTTGTTAGTACATTGGTTGGAGATTTTCAACTCCCACTGAAAACTCTTGATGAACTGAAATCTGATATTTACAGAAATAATAATAAGAAAGGGAGAAAGGGAGAGAAATGACAATGGTGGAATGAAGAGATAGAGTGAGGATATAGTTAAGCAAGATGTTGAATATAGGGTTCAAAAAAAAAAAAACTAAATTAGCCCTATGTTTATTTAAACATATTGGATCAGGGTTGTCAGGAAGTATATGAAGCCCTTCTTTTTTTTCCCTTACAAATTCTTCTTGGAAACTTCTACTCAACATGCCATTCTGTCTTCATTTTGTCTTTCACTAACAGCTCCTGGGAAATGTGATGGTGATCATTCTGGCTACTCATTTTGGCAAGGAATTCACTCCTGATGTGCAGGCTGCCTGGCAGAAGCTAGTGTCTGGGGTGGCTACTGCTCTAGCCCACAAGTACCACTGAGTCCTTTCTCCAGTTTGCCAGTATCCCTCTGTGTGTCTCTGACATCCTTCTTCTGAACATGGGGACTGGACTGTCCTCGAAAGCATAGCTTCTGTTTAATGAACTACTTTCTATTCAGTAAATAATAAAAAAAAATCACAACTTTATCTTCTCTGTCTTTTCCTTGTATGTTAAAAAAAAGTGGGGGTTATGGGCTGAAGAAGAGAAAAAGTGGCTTTAAAAAGTGTGTGGGGAATCATCAAAAGAAGGTGGATGTTATAGAAGGATTCTACAGGCCCGGGGAGGATGCCAAGATGGGGCAGAAGTTTTATAAGGCTGGCAAAAGCATTAGATAAGTGAGTATGGACATGTGGGAAGTGTGGGCAAAAACTTACTGCACAGGGGAAGAAGGGAAGGGCTAAGTGGTAACTGAGAAAGCAAATGTGCAGTACACATCAAATTTCACTGTTAAAAACAACACTCTGTAGGGATCCCAGATCTAGGCTAGGGTTAGGTATTTTAATTTTAATTTATCTATTGTACATTTAAAAGCTGTTATATTGATATGGAGATAAGAGGATGAGTTGAGTAATGGATTGTGTGTTTCCAGAAAATGTCTAATTGAGTCAACAATAGTCTTCTTTTCCATAGGATTACATTATCTTTATGAGGAGACAAACCTATGACACTTGAAATCATTGTGCATTGCCTTCTGACAGAATGTAACATGCTCTAAGATAAAGTTAGAGTTAGAATATGGTGGGAACTTTTTTGAGACTAATGATAACGACTTCATGAAGGCCATAACATACTAACAAAGTTCCATAATCTAAAACCGGCCGATGGGGCTTAGTGATTCGCATGAAACCAGGTCTCTGGAAGTAGAGGGGAGAGTAAGATATGGGTAGAGTATAGAGAAAGACCAGATAGTGCAGTTCTTACAATTTTAATCAATGAGTAAGAGCAATGAAATGCCTAATAGACTAATCCAAAAATATAAAAATATAAGATTGTAGTATGCTATTGGCAACAGCAAACAATAACAATTCTTAAGATTTTAAGTGACTCATGGAATACAATTTTGAGGAAAAGCAACCTGCTTGTAAGCTCAAAATGAATTTACATTTGCAGAGAATAGATATGGATGATGATTCTAGCAAAAAGATATAATACTTGAACCCTGAGAGGAGCAGTGGGATCTGCGAAATGTGAATGATAGACAAAGGTAGAATGAGGAAGATGTGGTATCTCATTGGCTGGGGCAGATGAAAAGGAAGAAAGAGGATGTGGATAACTGAAAGCTTCCAGACAAGATGAACAAGAGGAAGGAAGCCATGCACTGAACTGAAACCCTCAGGAGGATGGGTATTAACTGACTCACTTTTGAATGAGTGCTAGCTTGCTCAGGGAGTCTTGACCTTTAGGTCCTGAGTCCTTCATAACAAGACTTGAGACCTTTACACCAATTTAGAGTGCTACACTTTGGAAAATAAAACATGGATTACTCTATTAGGCATTTCATTGCCATTAGACTTTGAATAAAATTTGTTCTGTATAGCTGGGTATTATGGTGGGTGCCTGTAGTCCCAGCTACTCAGGAGGCTGAGGCAAGAGAATCACTTAAGCCCAAGAGTTTGAGGTTGCTGTGAGCTGTGAAACTACAGCACTCTACCAAGGGCAACATAGTGAGACTCTGTCTCAAAAAAGAAAAAAAAAAAAAAACTTTGCCCTGTAAATTCATTTTTAATTTGGCTTTATATCTCCACAATAGAGATGAAAGACCAATGGTTATTGTAGTTGCAGGCTATCAATAACACTTTTCTCTATGAGATCTGTAAGTTTCCAACATGCCTCTAAACAGAGTAAACAGTGGTTTTTTATTCACTAATTATTGTCAGTCAACAGATAAGACCAATGTGCATTTTTTCTTAATACATAATATATGTACAAATTTATAGAGTACATGTGATATTTTATTTCATATATGCAAAAAGTATAATATTCATATCACTGAATCTAAGTGCACAGAGAGCTTAGAGATTTTGTTAACAGCAGAATTGAAATGTCACTGTATTAAAATATTTATCACCTTGAGCATTTACTATTTCTGTGTGTTGAGAACATTTCAGGTTCTCATTTCTATCTAGTGAGAAATGCATAATGCATTGCTAACTTTAGTCACCCTACTCTCCTGTCAGGCATTATAATTTATTCCTTTTACCTACCTGAATGTTTGTGCCCATTAAAAAACATTTTGTCCTCTCCCATTACACACATTTCTCAACCTCATTAATATTTTTCTCAGGATATTATAGTAATCATTTTACTCTCTACTTCTATAAATCAACATTAGTTAGCTCCTACATATGAATTAGAACACGTAATATTTGTCTAAGTATGGCTTATTTCACTTAGCATAATGACCTCTAATTCCATTCATGCTGCTTAAAATTACAAGATTAGACTCTTTTTTGTAGCTAAGTAGTATGCCATTTGTAAATAAATATGTTCCCTTTATTTTTACGCATTCATCCACTGATGAATTGATTCCATATCTTTGCTGTTGTAAATAGCATTGCAATAAACATAAGGGTGTTTGTAGCCCTTGATATAATGATTTATTTTTCACTGGATAAATATTCAGTAGTAAGATTGCTGAACCATATAGTATCTCTTGTTTAGTTTATTTGACAAATCTCCACATTGTTTTCCATAATAGCCATAGTAATTTGCATTCCCACCAACAATATGTAAGAGTTCCCTTTTCTCTGCATCCACACCAACATCCAATATTTTTTGCCTTTTTGATAATAGCCATTCTAACTGGGATAAAATGATATCTCCCCATGGGTTTGATTTGCATTTCCTTGATGATTAGTGATGTCATGAATATTCTTTCATATGCCTATTGGCCATTTGTATGGCCCTCTTTTGAGAAATGTCTATTCAGATACCTTACCTAGGGTCTAGGCATGGATTTTATGATTAAGATCTCAAAAATGTAGGAAACAAAAACAAAAGTAGACAAATGGGACTATAATAAACTTAAAAGTTTCTGCATAGAAGAGAAAACAACCAACAGATTTAAGAGACAACCTATTGAATGGGAGAAAACATTTGCAAAACTATTAATCTGACAAGGGATTTATAACCAGAATATATAGGGAGCTTGAATAACTCAACAGCGAAAAACAAAAGCAACAAAAAAATAAAGGAATGTGCACGTTCCAATAATCAGTGTCTTTTTCTTGTTTTTGTCCTAACCTAATATTCTGTATTATCCCAGCTCTTGGTGTCAAGGGGTCAAGGATAATGATAATGGAGTGCTAGAGAATACCTCAGGAAGGTATATCTAGAACTAGATGTTGCCATTCCAAGATAATTTAATTAAAAAGAAATTCATTATGAACACATGCATATTTAGGTCTGGATGACCAAAGTTTTTTTTTTTTTTTAAATATATGAATGAATAGCTAATCCTTGTTCACAGCCAATAAAAACTGCTTAAACAAAATAATGTTGTGATAAACAATTTATTCTTAGAATAATAATCTAAGTGCACAAGAGCTTAGAGATTTTGTTAACAGCAGAATTGAAATCCAGTAGGGGTTTTCACTTTCTACCACTGAAGGCAAGTTTATGTCATTAGGCCTATGCTTCCTTGCAATGGTATCATCTGCTATTTTCCACTTTGCTATTTACCTATCAACCTCATTATTCCATTGTTTATCTTTGTAGCATACCAAGAGTTTGTCTTCTTCTGCTTCAGAGCTTTGAATTCTCTACTTTAAAAGTTCTTTCTCAATATCTTCCTTGACATTCTAGCTCCAGTTCAAATACTATGTCTTTACAGAAATTATTCTGGATATCATCATACTCCACTCTTATCAAGTCCATATATTGTTTTATTAGTAAATAATATCATATTAAATTATTTTGTTTATTAGTTTACTTGTTCTGATTACAAACCTTTAGAGAAAGATTTTATTTCCTGATTCTTTTAGCTTAAGTCCCCAAAACTCAGCCCAATTATAACAGTTATTACACAGATAGTTGTTAAATGAAAGTTTGAAAAAACATGGGAATGAATACTTAAACACACATAGGACAGCTTTTTTAAAGAAATAGCTTTATAGTTGAGCATCTAGGCAATGTCAAAGGCAATGACATGCAGAAAATGGAAAGGTAAGACAACTATGAAGACAGAGCATTTAGAAAGTATTATTTCAAAAGCATAAGAGAAAAAAAGTGGTTACAAATGACTTTTGGATCACTTTCCAGGTTTTTGAAAAACTGGGGAAGTTGTTTAAAGACATGAATGATCACACATATCCCTTAATCTGAGGAAGAGCAATTAAAAGTTATTTCATTCTGGCTCGGCGCCTATAGCTCAACCGGCTAGGGCGCCAGCCACATACACCTAAGGTGGCGGGTTCGAATCCCCAGCCCGGACCCACCAAACAACAATGATGGCTGCAACCAAAAAAAAAATAGCCGGGCATTGTGGCGGGCGCCTGTGGTCCCAGCTACTTGGGAGGCGGAGGCAGGAGACTCGCTTGAGCACAGGAGTTGGAGGTTGCTGTGAGCTGTGATGCCACGGCACTCTGCCCAGGGGGAAAGCTTGAGGCTCTGTCTCAAAAAAAAAAATCTGTCCCACCCAACTTTAGGTTGAGAGAAATTATTATGACTATCATCAGAAAACCAATACTGATATCTTGATAAGTCTCACCTTCTGCCTTTTTAACCATCTTCATTAATGAACAGATATAGTCTTTATATGAGATCATGAAGACTAAAAGGATTTCACCTATATTAAAGTTTCAGTCAACCTAATTGATTAGGGAATAAGCAAAATTTAAGCTAACTCCCTTTTAGTAAAATACACAGGGGACTTCTTAACCTACTTTTTTGATATGATCATCAGTTTTGAATTTAAGGACAACTAATCAAGCCGGACTTCCAAAACTTCAAGTACCATTATCCAACAAGGTGTAATATTATGGAAAACTTTCAGAGACATTCAGTAAATACCTACATAAAGAAGTGTGAACTTTTCTTGACATATTAAGAGTGTGCCATGTCAGAAACAGCACTGAGTGAGAGGAAAATGTGTCTACAGTACAGTAGTGTCCCAGCTATAATCATGTGTAGACTATTACTCTATGAACCTAGTCCCTGATTCCTTGGAGTTCTTTTGTTACACAAGCACACAAGAAGAAAGAAAGAAGTGCTTTCTAGTGTTATATCTTGAAATAAAACTGTCTAAAAAATGACCTAGCATTAATCAAGATAATTAATTCAAATGTATTACTTATCAAGGAATTTTTCACCATTGTCTTCACTGAGCATATAAGTGCTACAAAACCCTGGGTCCCTAGCTAGCGCATAATCTGATCCAGTGAGAAATGCTCATCATCTGGTACCTAGATGCATACACAGACAAGAAGATAAATACCTTGTCTCAGATAAAATATATAAGCTTTATTTCAAACAGATATAGGTAAGTAGATACTGAGGTAGGAGTTTAGCCTTATACTATATTACAGTAGTTCCCAACCTTCCTAATGCTGCAGCCCTTTAATACAGATCCTGTGAGTCATGACCCACAGGTTGAGAACTGCTGCTATATTATCTAACATTAATATATACTTGCACTGCAACTGTTGCTTTATGGGAATTACTTTTCCCCAGATTATTGTCAATTGGAGAGAACATGGCCTAAATTTACAGAGAGTGTATTCGAAGATCAGTATAGCATTTCTCACATGGAAATCACTCCTACTAAATGAGACTTACACTTCTTCCACCAGAGATTCTAGACTCATGCCTAAAAAGAATCTCACAAAACCTGAATTTTAAGAAGTTGGAATAATTGAATTGAAACAGGACAAAGACTCTTAAAAATGTAAGCAGCAGAGTCCTCTTGGGGGCCCCTTCCCCACACTATCTCCATGCAAACGTCTGTCTGAACCCTTCCCTCTCTAAACCACACCCCTGTGTTGACCATCCTTGCCTTGACCAATAGGCTTGACAAAGTGACCTTGACCAATAGCCTCAGAGCACCATGTGAGGCAAGGGGCCAGGGGGCCAAGGATAGAGAAATAAAAGGAAGCACCTTCTAGCAGTTGCACATACTTGCTTCTGCAACATCTGAGATTATCAACAAGCTCCAAATCTAGACACCATGGTTCATTTTACAGCTGAAGAGAAGGCTATTATCACAAGCCTGTGGGGTAAAGTGAATGTAGAAGAGGATGGAGGAGAAGCTCTGGGAAGGTATGCTCTGGGGTGGTGGGCAAGACAAGGGAGGGAAGGAATGAACCTATGCCTAGAAGAAATACATAATACTTCTTGGGTCTACTGACAACTTCTGAGCTTCTAGTTGCTGTTGTTGTATCTCATAGACTCCTGGTTGTCTACCCATGGACCCAGAGGTTCTTTGACACCTTTGGAAATCTGTCCTCTGCTTCTGCCATCATGGGCAACCCGAAGGTCAAGGCCCATGGCAAGAAGGTTCTGAGTTCCTTGGGAGAAGCTATAAAGAACATGGATGATCTCAAGGGTACGTTTTCCCATCTGAGTGAGCTGCACTGTGACAGGCTGCATGTGGATCCTGAAAACTTCAGGGTAAGTCCAAGAGATGTGAAAGCCTTTTGCCTTTAATCCTGGGGCCACTTAGATAACTGAGCATTGATCTGAGTATAACTGGGGCTACCTGCAGAGTGTGAAATATTTAGAGATATTGGAGTTTGGTGTAAAGAAATGCCAGAGAATAAACCAAGTTGAGACCAAGTGTTAATGTTCCAGAGCAGCAGTTCTCAACCTGCGGGTTGTGACCCATAGGAACTATATTAAAGGGCCATGGCATTAGAAAGGTTGAGAACAACTGTTCTAGAGCCTAAGGAGGGGTTTTAGAAGTCTGCAGGGTTTGTCTCTATTCTATTGACTTTGAGAAAATGTTGAACAGAGATGAATGAAATGACTTTTGTAAATTAGACTCCTTTAAAGAGAACTTTGTCTTTCCCTTTTCTCTATTTTACATTTTTTTTTAACAAAACATTGTTTGAGGCAGAGAAAAATATGGTCATGGAAAAGATACATGTAGGCAAGCACATGCTGGCATGATAAAAGGGAGAAAACTAGGGGATGAAATACATGTTGCTAAGGCTAGTTCTATATTGGCTAGATACTTACATAAAATCCTGCTAAAGCCTTCTTTCAAAGGCTTATTACATCCTCTAATTCCAGGAAGGGGAAGAAGTGTCTGTGAGGAAGAACAACAACTAGAACAATGGGTTTAGAAAGAGAGCTGTGTGTTTTTAAAAAAATATTTATCAACACACAAAATGTGGGGCTGTTGGTTGTAAGAAAATGGAAAGACTCATGGCCAGTGGTCAGTCTGCCAGGGGAAAAATCTTCTTGTGTTGAATGGCTAAGCAAAACCTCAGGCGTTGTGAGAAGTTAACACAGGTCCTGAGTACAAGTTGGGTTTAAAGATACATAAAGTCTACCCTGGACCTCTCTGCTCACTTTGTTCTCATCTCTGTTGTCTCTTACCACCTACACAGCTCCTGGGAAATGTGCTGGTGATTGTCTTGGCAAAGCATTTTGGCAAGGAATTCACCCCACAGATACAGGCTGCCTGCCAGAAGATGGTGGCTGGTGTGGCCACTGCCCTGGCCCACAAGTACCACTGACCCCCATGCTCATGCTACAGGGATTTCAAGGAGAACCATCATTCTTCAAGTTATAATAAAATAATAAAACTGTTATGAAGTTGCACATTTTTAGTCTTTGGTTCTTTTCCTGTGTTCTCTTAAACATATATATGAGCCCCAGGGGCTTTTATGTTGAGGGTGTGTGTGTGTGTGTTTGTGTGGTGTGCCCGATATCCATCTAGTTTTGCACGACATGTGCATTTTTATGAGAAAAATGAAAGAACAAGGCAATAAAGAAACACATACACAGGAGTTCTGCAAGGGGTAGTAAAAGTTATGGGAGAGTTCTGGTGGAAATGAGGACTCTATGGAACAGGACTCCTTAGAAACAGATGGGTGGGAGAAAACAGGTGACTTCAGGGAAAACCTCAGGGGCTTGGATATAGGCAAAGTAGCCAGGGACTTAGTGGAGCAAAGGCATTCTAGACCTTAAAAAGGTAAGGTTCAGGCAGGAATTATGTTTTAGTTCTATTTAGTGTGACACAATTTCTAAGGGCAATTGTTTTTTCACAGCCTTTGTGAGGCTAGATTGGGAGTTGATGGCTTTGAAGATCAGTATGAGGATGGCTCTTTTCCCAATTATCTCCAAAGCAGTGTTCCTGGCTTAACTTAAGAACATTATGTTTTAAGTGTTGATTCATGACCAGAGAAGTTGAATTGGTCCCATTCTCTCAGGAGAGATAATTCCTGTGTGTACAGATTGGCTAGAAAATTTCAGAAAGAAATATCTGTGTAAGCTACCAGGGGAGACAGAAATTTAGGTGTAGTAAACGAACAAGGAGAGGCTCAGAAACTTTACACATGAGTACATTAGCCTGGGATGTCTAGCAACAGACCAACACTGAGAAATTAAAAGAATTTGTACACATTAGTTGGGAAACCAGATTTACTGGAATTTTTGTAAAGTTGAAAGTTAATCCATATTTTAAACGCAAGAGTGTGATCTGATACAACTATAGCCTGAATATTTGTGTTTCCCCAAAATTTATATGTTGAAGCCCAACACTTCAAAGGGACCTTATTTTAAAACAAGGATTTTTGGAAGTAATAAGATGTAGATGAACTCATGATAGTGGATCCCCCAGCATAAGATGATTTTTTTTTTCTAAGAAGAAAAGAGACCAACAATCCCTTTTTCCTTCCTCTGAAGACACATGGAAGAGTCAGCCATATTCAAGCCAGAAAGAAAGTCCTCACTGAAAACTGAATAGGCCAGAACCTTAACATTAGTTGCCGTGATCTCTAGAAATGTGAGGGAAAAAAAAAGCCATCCAGGCTATGGTGTTCTGTTGCTAAAGCCATCCAGGCTATGGTGTTCTGTTATGGCACATCGAGCTGACCAAGGTAGATGGGGGGAGGGGGAATAAACTTGTGTCCTGAGTGGATTAGAGGATGTGCTAATCTCAGGGTTACAAATCTCCACTGGTTTCCCAGACTTTGGAATAAAACATCCCTTCTACTGCTCTCATTTATATAACTCAAATAATAAGCCTGGATCCATGTCTCTGACTTTGAATCCTCTCATTTTTCCCTTAATATGTTTTACTCTGGCCTTGGTCTTTATATACAGTGAAATTCCAAATTGTATTTTTCTTCTGCCTCTTTTTTTTTCTTTTTTTCTTCTGTTTCTCCTCAGCCTCAGAGTTTTGCATGTGCCCTTCCTGCTTTCAGGAACTTCATTTCCCAAATTTCTTGCTCCTGTCTCCATCTATCACAGAGGCTCTATTTGAAATGCAACTTCCCTTATAATTGCTCTTCTGATAGTACATTCCTTAAGCCATTGACTACCATTTTCACAGTGTGCATTTTCCTCATGTCATATAATACCACTTGAAATTTTCTTATTCACTCATTTCTTTGTGTTGGTCTCCTCTTTTCACCATAATGTGAGCAACATTAGAAGAGTGAGTGTCGAAAAAAACATAGATGGCATATAGAGGTTAAAAATAACTATTGAATTAATATATGGAAAATGAAAGAGAAACTTTGATGACTATGCTGATGACTAAATATTGCTATCATAAGGGTCCAGACCATAGCACAGTGTTCACAATCTTCCTAATGCCACAACCCTTTCATACAGTTCCTGTGGGTTGCAACTCACAGGTTGAGAACCACTGCCATAGCAGAAGCAGTCAGTATAGAAAACATTTGGAAGAATGGAGCAGCCACAAACAAGAAAGAATCAGTACTTTTAGGACTTCTGTCTATAGCAGTAAGAGAAAAGCATGAGTTAGGAGTAACTGTTGTAATCACTTGTGGTTTACTGAAGAGATGGGTAGCTATTCACTGCCATGCAAGGTTAATAGATATATGTACTTAAGTAGGAGTTGTGACAACATATTCTGTTGGGGGTCAGTTTTAAGGCTAGTAGAGAGTAAATACCTGACCTATGCTCTCAAGTCAGTCTCCATAACTGAATTTAAAGTTTTTTTCCTAGATATTGCTGAAGTTACTACTTCTTATTTATCATTTCATTAATCTCTGCTTTAAAGAGAATCTTCTTGGATTTGCTTCAAGCTCTTATCTGTCTTTCACTAAAAATCTTTCCCATTTTCCTAAATAAAAGAGATTATAGCTTCTTGACTACATTAAGTAGACCAAAAATACTATTTCTTTAATACTAAAAATCCAGCTTTGACATATTGGGTTGAACTCTTTGAAATTTGTAGTATCCTCCAAATACAGACACAAATGATTTCTTATGTTTTATTTCTTGTAATTTTTTTATCTCAGGGAAAACAAATAAATTAGCATCCTGGACACTAAGTATGGAGATTATAGACTAATCTATAATTGACTGACATGTGAGACCAAAGTACATTTAGTCATCAGATAGAATAGTCTAAAGCATTTTGGAGTCCCAGTGGTAATGGCATGGGGAATACTGTCAGTGAAGACTGTCTCTGTCTTATTGGATATGAAGAAAAGTTAAACACAGCAACAGAATGTAGATTCAACTTATACTAGAGATAAATCACTTAATTCCTAGCCCTTGCCATAAAATATTTTTTTACTCTCCTCACTGTAGGCAGCAGCATCTCTCTCCCCCAAGACCAATTTGATAGAAAATCCTTATTCTTATACACAAATTAGTAGATACATGGAATGTGACATAGATTATTGTCCAAACTCAGTGGAAATATGTTTTCCTTAGATAAGTATGGACTATTAAATGGATTATAAAACACAAGAATAATACCTAATCTTGCTCTTACTTGGCTAGTATTTTGTATCCTGCTTCCAATTGGTGCTGGACAGAGGAATTAATTTTTATTCTAAAAAATGACAAAATTGTGCCCTCAATGTAGTCTTAAAAGAATTGAAAGCCAAGAAGGACTGTAAATTCTTCCACATACAAGAATTCTGTTCTCCTGGTTGGATAACAGAATGATACACTATCACAACTCCTCACCCAGGAGTTGACAGATAAGAGATTTATAATTCTTAACCATTTCAGTTCTAATCTATTCCTCATCATAAGCTTTCAAGTCATGGTGGACTAGTGATAATAAGGACCTTGAGAAATAAATTGCACACTAGATGGTGATGTATGATGTAGGAAAAAAACAATGAGGTTTAAATTTGAACCTGAACATTAGGGTTCCCCTGAGGGGGGAGACTCAGAGATGCAAATGTCCACCTTTGAAATCCTCCCTTAACCAAATGCCATTCCTAGAATCACAACACACCCTGGAAAAACAGCTTTATTTCATTAGGAGAGGCAAAGTGCTCAGGGCAGAGTTGAGGCCACAGAAGGAAATAACAAAACAGGCAAGTTTCTGGCTCATGTGTGGTCACCAGTAGAATTCTGGACCCAAAGTCAGGTGCATTTCACTGTTGAGGAGAAGGCTGCTGTTACTAACCTTCTGGGCAGGTTGAACATAGAGGAGGTTGTAGATAAAACCCTGGGCAGGCATTGGAGGCCATTGGAGGTTGGGGTGAGAAAGGTAGAACATGTTCCTGAAAGAGGGAATAAGCTTATCAAAGATCAAATGACAGTAAGTGGCTGGGTTCGTCTCTTGGGTTCTCTCTTCTGTTCTGTATATCTATTCCCTACTTTTGTGCCAGTACCATGCTATCTTGATCACTGTAGATATATAATATAGCCTGAAGTCTGGTAGCAAGATTCCTCCTGATTTGTTTTTATTTCTGAGTAATGACTTGGCTATTCGAAGTTTTTTCTGATTCCATGTAAAATGAAGTACTATTTTTTCTAGATCTTTGAAGTATGACAATGGTGCTTTAATAGGGATTGCATTAAATTTGTATTTTGCTTTGTGCAAATGCAAGGGTACATGTCAAAATTATTTAGAATAGAGGATAAATGTCTTAACACAACAAATAAGTAAGGAAGTAAGGTAAAGGTTATGTTAACCAGATTGATGTAAGCATTCCGAATTGTATATAAAATCAGCACATTGTACCCCATAAATGCATTAATGTACATAGTTATGATTTAATAAGAAAAATAAAAATAAAAATAAATAAAAAAGAAAGAGAGTATAGTCAGTAAGTTATATTCTATAATCTGACTTTGCATTTGTTTAGTGAGCACTACTGCTCCATCAGTTCTTGGTTATTTACTCATGGTCCCAGAGGTTCTTTGATAATTGGGGAACTTGTCCTCTGACTCTGTGGTAACAGACAATTCTAAGGTCAAGTCTCATGGAAAGAAGCTACTGACCTCTTTTGAAAAGATGTTACACATAGGGAACACATCTAGGGCAACTTTGATAAGCTGAAGGAGTTACAGTGTGACAAGCTGAGTGTGAATTTTGAGAGCTTCCCATTGAGTTCTGAACACACTTATGCTTTACTCTTAGGTGTCTGTGTCATGGATACTTTTGAAACCAGAGGTGTCTATCTCTTATTCCATAGGAGTTAGCTGTGGGATATGATATTTTGATGATGAGGTTGATTTGGAGACTTAGGTTGCTCTAAATGGCATAGCTAAAATTTGGTAGAGTAAAAGCTATGAATAGAGAAAGGCCACATT